ATGCAGAGGCAGAGGCTGAGGAGATTTCTTGCAGCTTTAATGAAATTAACAGAGGTAACAGAGGTGGGAATCCAAAAATCCAAAATCAAACATGAAAAATATAAAGCAAACCAGAACTATGGAGACATGTGGGGAAAACCAAACACGAGGAGCCAGGGAGCCATATATAGCAGAGAGAGACAAAGGGAGGGCTAAAGAGCATACAAGGAGCAGGTGTGAGGGGAGACATCGAGGGAGCCAGGGGGAAAGGAACACACACAAGAGGGCAATAGAAGACAACAGAAAAACATGAGAACTAATATAAATCTAGAAATTACAACAAAACTGTAATTAAACCAATAAAACTAGAAAACAAGGAGCAAAGTAAAGAACAACAGAACCAAGACCATGACAATAATGCCATGACAATCCCGAACTTACTCTAAAAAATAGTTATTAATCATTTTTATGAAAATACAAGAAACCAATATCCTAATTTGATGGATAGAAAAGCAGGAATTTCAACAAAAAAAGCGATTCCAAGGTCTATGTGGGTCTTTTATATATAGCTTAAAATGAAAGGGAAGATAATGAAATATTAACCTTGGATATTATAAAGGGTCTGTGGAAGCTGTTTTTCAGCCGCATACAGTTTTCAAGTAGTGGGTGCAGAGACAGCTGAGGGCACAGAGGATGAGCAGAGAGAAATTAGCACAAGTTTTGAAAACATGTGTGAGGTTTAAACACAAAGCAACTGTCTCACTGTGGTTAGATTGGTGACTATGCATTGAACTTGGTGTCACAAAACAAATACACAATTTTGAAATTTTGGATTTTAATTGCTTCTCTGTTTAGTTGTTCCATGTTGACTCTTCCTGCCCACTGCCAGCCACCACAGAAGAATTATTATCTTCCTTGTTTCTTTAGTATGTCAGCTTTCTTCTGTGATCATTCTAAATAGTTTTAGGGTTTACAGCCAATAAACATGAATGAATGCCCACTTCCACACAAACTACTGTTTGATTGGCAGTGTTGTGCACGTTACTTTGAAAAAGTAATTAATTATAGTTACTAGTTACTTCTCCCAAAAAGTAATTGAGTTAGTAACTGAGATGCTCCACAATATAAGTAACTAGTTACTAGTAAAAGTAACTATTGCGTTACTTTTGCGAGTGTATGAAATTAATAACTGGGGATGTCTAATTCTGAAATCCTGTGTTTCGGTTGTTATAGATACTGCAACATGTAGCTATATCTATCTATCTATTCTATCCATCCATCCATCCATTATTCTCTCTTTCTCCATATAGGCTAATGATCGTTCACGCTCTTCATAGTTCCCCTGTGGCGCGAGCACAGGGCGGCTGTTACGCGCCTTTAGCGAGCATGCGCGTTTCCTGTCGCTTGCGCGGTGAATTGTGCCGCCGCGCTGTGCGGAGATGCAGGGGAAACCGTATCTGATGGGGAAACGCAGCTCGATGTAACACCAGTATTTCCATCTGGAAAGCGCTGTTTTGCCACTGGAGTCATCCTCACTCTCCATCCTCCCCTCTCTCATGACGCACGCACGAGTCCTATCATGAAAAAAGGTTAATTTTGCGACCTGAGTAACGTGCAGTAACGGGGTGTCGGCAATTGTAACTGCGTTATAGTTACAGTAAGAGTAATCATTATGATTACTCGTTACTAAAAAAAGGTAGTGGCGTTAGTAACGCCGTTACTTTCAACGCCGTTACTCCCATCACTGTTGATTGGTCATAGCTTCATGCCTGTGTTGCTTTCACCTGAGTTGAGTGAAAACGACTTTTCAGTTAATATCATGGGGCGGCTAATTTCTTACCTAAGGAATGAGAAAAAGATCCTGGGCTTGATGAGAATCATTCGGGCATAAGCCAGTGTTACAGCAAAATCTGTACCCCATCATATATTGTGACCCAAGGGTGCGCTTACCTATGTTTCTCAATATACTTCTTTAGGTATTAATGGTATTAATATTGTGATATTATCTGACAGTGTGGGGTCCTGTCATCCAGGTTACACAAGTACAGTTAAAAAAAACAATAAAACAAGATCTCCGGTTAATAAAATTACTTTTTTAAATGTCCAGTGTGAAAATATCTTGAGTTTAAATTCAAGTCTTTAACACAACTGTAGCCCTAGATTGTAAATTCTAAAATACATAATTTAGGGAGTTTGTGAATTGTTGCAACAGAGCTGTGTATTTGTTGGCACTTCCATTTGCAAACAATATTTTGTTTTTATTTTTAAGTTGATAGTCATCCCTGTTCCCTGAGCACCAACATCACAAAGTTTCATGTTACACATGAAATTAGTTTGGATCTGATAACGCCAAAACATTCACTCTCAGGATCAGTTCCTGCTAATTAGTGGAGTATTGGAGAAACCTATCTATGACACACAGATATCTGCATCTCCCTATCTCATAGAGCTAGGGTTGATTATAGCAGAAAGACTTTAAACACCAAATGGATGCAGAGCTGCCAATTACTAACAATATATTGTTTTCTGCCTGTGAGCAAAGCTCTCAGGCTGTATTACCTTCCGTGTGAAATATTTCACTCTGTGTATTCAGTCTTGTCTTATGATATAAAAGCAGACATTTTTCACAGTGCAAACCACATCTCGGGGTCTGCTCTGTATTGATCCGTCACTCCTGAAACTATTTAGTGTCTTCTGCTGAGAAAACTATTTTACTTTACACCAAGCAACACTTTAATTTTAAGCTAAAATGTTCTGAGTGATTCGCTGAGGGACATATTGATTTTTAATTCCGACTTAAAGCGTATGGACCAAGTCTCCCTGTTTTCTGCCTGATTCTCTGTAACTTTCTAGGTTAAACTAGAAAAAAAAAAATGATTCAGCAGCATTCCTTTGGTGCCAAAAATAAAACCCATGTGATGAATGTAATTTGGGGAGATTCAAGCATAGAAAAGGATGCAATCAGGTGCTGATCATCACAGTTTAAGGTATTCAATGCAAGATTTGCAGCTCATTTGAGCGAAAGTAAAAAGGACAGTTGGGGGAAAACCAAGATGTAAGGTTGATTACGCAGCAGACCAAAGCTTAAGACCAAAATCTGATTATTTGATTGTTCATAATGTCAGTTATAGAATATCACTCACGCATATACAGTATTAATAACTCAGACAATGAAGCTTGGAGAAGCTCAGTTAGTTCATAAGTGAGATGAATATCTTATTTAAATGGATTGTAATCTGGATTTGTATTTTTTTTTTTGCAGTTCAATAGTCTATTTTTTTCAAACTTTATTTTTTTCAGTAGCGGAGGCATAAAGAAACCTCCAGACATTCAGCTGTTCATCACATCTTAAGTGGCTGCTGTGTAGAGACTAAAGTTATAATTCTCAGAAAAAAACTCCCTGGAGTTTAAAAGAAAATCTTCCAACTTCATAGAAACTTTAAGGCCTTTGAATATTTTGGGTAATGGTTGCATGTGCTTTGCCTGTTTCAGATTTCTAAATATTTTCACGTACTTTGTGACTTAAGCATAAACAATAAATCTAATTTAGGAGATTGTACACAGTGTAATCTGAATGCGATAATTTAATCATGAATCTAATTATTACCTTGTAAAGAGGTACATGCTAACACAACTGTCACAGAAAAAAAAAAACATGTCACAATATATTATTACAAATGATAAATACATATGAGAATCTAGACGCGATTGGTAAAATAAGTAAAGCTTGCTGCAGATTATCTTGTATGATAAAAATGAAGGGATCCTCTTGCCTTTCACCACATTTTGTTCTTTTGATTTACAGTCTTGTTTAATTAGATTTTAATCAGAGAATCTCAAAAAGGGCAGCATACAGTGCACCACCCTGAATTTATCAAATGCAATCTGTGGAACAGCAATGAAAAGCAAACTATGGAGTGGATACTGACGTGTGTCGTCTGATTCGTCTGACCAGCTACTGTAGGTGAAAGCACTGAAGAAGTTAATGCTGGTCAGATTAAGCAGTGCACTGCAGTTTAAGTTTTAAGTTGGGGTTGTTAAGATACTATAATTGACTGTTTATTCTTTTTATTTTAGGTTTGATTGTTCCTTTGTCCTTTATAATTGATTTACCTTCACTATGTCTAGTCTACAAAATAACATCTACATCACTAAACAAGTTTAAAAGAAACCTGGCTGTAGAGAATGCCTATATGTTTAAAAGTGAAATTGATTCAGCATGACTTTTAACATGTCTCACTCCACTGTGCTATTTTCATGTCTCAGTTTAATCAAGAAAAATGTGTTTATTGTCACTGATGTGTGATAAAAAGAGCTGTGGATTGCTTATTTCAATATACCTTCTTTAATTTACAACATGAACAAAATAGATATAGACATTTCACCGTTTACATCAACAAGCTAAAGTAAACAATATGGGAGATATAGGAATATAGGAAAAAAAAAAACATTGTAACTTTAAGTTTGATGCTTATTTTTTAAATTTAGATCAGGGTTCTGCAACCTGTGGCTCTTTAGACACTTGACAATGGCTCTTTATTATTTTGGCTAAAAATAATGAAGAGCCAGCTAATCTTTGGAAAAATAGAAACACCAACAAATTGAATTTCACAAATCAATTGACTCTAAATAATACAAACAGAATTTTTTTGTTTTTTTATTACTGAAATGGGATTTCAGAAACCGATTTAAAATGTATTGATTCTCTTTTCACAAGTTTTTTCCTTCACTTTTGAAATGGCACTGTGATTATTTAGAAAATATTTGGTATGTATCTCTTTAAAAAAGGCCACATTATGTTTGTGGCTCTAAACAAAATTATCAGTTGGACTGCACATAATATTTGGCTCTTTGGATGTAAATGTTGCAAACCCTCGTCTAGAAGTACTTAAAACGGGTTCCTTTCTGTAACCAAACCTATCTCCTTTGTTCCATTCGTGTTGTTCTCTTCACTTTTACTGTGCTTGCATCACACTTAATCAAACTCTTTCTGAACAACCTCTTTATTTTTGCTTTTGTAGGTTCGACTACCAGGAGCTGCTTCACAACGCCAGTTTCTGCTTGGTGCCCCGGGGCCGTCGACTGGGATCCTTTCGCTTCTTGGAGGCCTTACAGGTGGGTTCCTGCTTAGATGGATGTCAGTGTGGTTTAAGTTCAAAGAATGCAGATCCTTACAATGTCAAATTTTATCACTAAACATTCTTTTAATTTCTTTAAAAACTGTTTGTCTTTTTAAGTTATTTTTAAATTAAAAAGGTCCAATATCCTGCATTTTATGCCCTTTAAAATACACTATAGGCATTTAAATGTTAAATTATTTTATTTGCTTTGCATACTATTCATTTGTTCTGAAATACTCGTTGAGTTCTTCAGACACCGAAGAGAGAGACACCTGCCTTAATCGGGAGCCACCCACTTCATGACGTCCCCATATTAAGTGACTTCTGGCAATTAAGCTCTTCAGCAGCATGGTTGAACAAAATCTACGACCCCTCACAGGCAAAAAATGCAGTTTTGCGGCAAAAATATTAATTTTCAAAAAAGACTTGCTTTTAATTCTTACACGTTTCCGTTTGTTGTGACTTTGCTTCCATTGTACAAAACAGAGAATATAGAAAAAAAGGAAACTGTGTCACAGTGAAACTTTAGCACCAATTTAGCAATTTACTCTCTCTTCTGTTTTGAAATTGCTAATAACATTTTTGATAATGAATTTTGCCATCTGCTGGTGCAGCAGAGCCAATAAAATGTTTTTGGAGTCCAACCAGTTGCAAACAGATAAATGCAGCTAACAGTACAGCTCTATTGTCTCCGGTTGCAGAATATATTTGAATAAGCAAATGCAAAAACTTTAGCCTGACGTAGTCCTACTCAATTCTAGTCAGAATATGAGTCTGCTCCATAGAGCTGTGATTATGGGGCGTGTTTTGAACGAACCAGGAAAAAAAATGCCTCGCACTCAATTGGATAGACCTACAACCAATAAGAGCAACGGAGTGCGTGACGTATGTTAAGCGATGCATAGTTGTCAACAAAAATCAAAGCGTGCAGTTGCACGCCTAGAATAAGAAGATGAGCCTTGATCCCGTTTCTCTGTTCCTCTTTTAAAATTAATTTGCTGTCGATATCTTCTAGAACAGACCTAATAGCAGAATCTACACACCTCGACTCTCCAGCGGCAGCCATTGTTGTTGTCACCCATGCGCGCTTTGGTCACGTGGTTGATTACGTTACTGTTGATCATCTGTCCATCATCGTATAAAGCCCGCCCTGACAATTTGATTGGATCGCCAGAGGGTGGGCGATCATACTCGCTCTACTATGGAGCAATGCCAGACCGAACTTCCCGACCTCAAACCTTGTGGGCGGGACTAAGTTCGGAATGGCACCCAGGCTACAAAAACTTTCTCTCAGCAGACATTTTGTTTCCTAAGGTTGTAAGAAAGAGATTTCCTCAAGATCCACTTGTCCAACGAAATGTAGGTTGCATTACATCTTTAGGAAACTTTCAAACCAAAAGTGTTTAGAATTCATAAAAATTTCCCAGTTTTGACACAAATAAGACATAAAGTAACCAGTAATTTTTCTCACAGCTTAGTATTGGGTCATAATTAGGAGACAGTTATCTGTGAGTCTTTGGAGCTCCAACTGAGCTATTCAACCATTCAAACAGCTCCCAGTAACTCTCTGACAGGACCAAAGCTGAATTATATCAGTATTGACAATCTGTCATATCTCTAAAATAGAAAAGGCCTGTTTGAGTAGATACACCACAGAGAAGACACAGCCGCTCACCACAGATGTGTTCATCTTCCATTAGCAAATCGTTTTTATCCATTTCACTGCTTTGACATTATTTATCTGGCAAAATTCAGCTGTCATGTTTTTAAACGTGACTTCCTTCAGTTTTAATCATGTTTTAAAACTCAGCAACATTAAGTTTTTTTCTTACTCTTGTTATTAGTATTTTAAGTCTACTTATGAAGACTTTAAATACTGCTGGAAACAAGTTTTGATTTATGAAACCTGATCTACTGTGTTTTTCAAACTGTCCAATATCCTTCTGATGTGTGCAAACACAAACAGCAACCCTGGGAAGTTTAACCTTCTGTACATTTATGCTTTTTCTTTCAGCCATTTCTTTATCATATTGATTAACCTACATAAAAACTAAAAATAAACCTTTTGCAATCAAGCAAATAGGAAATAAGCTTGATGAAGGTTGATTTACACTGTATATACTGTATATATCCCATGCACCTTTTTCTTCCTTTGACACATTCTCCTTCTTTGACTATTTGAGTTGATGTAACGAGTAAATTTCTCCACTGTGAGATCAAAAAGTCAATCAATCAATCTATCAATTTAGTATTCAGCTCAGAATATGTAGAATAATTAAAAACCTAAGAGAAAATAAAATAAAACGCTTTCTGGTAAAACTACAGTAGAAGCTGAAGGTTTTTCATAAATAATGATGGACTTTTGAGTGTTTTTAATAAGAAAGCTCCCAGCTGAATAGAGAGTTATGAGGATAAAAGTGAAAAAGACAAAAGAGTTATATCACCAGAGTCAAAGTAATGAAATCGTTTCTGGGGCAGTTATCGATCACAATCCTGGCATTTTGGAAAGCTCCTTTAATCCTTCAGTCTCACTTGATTAAGAATCCTGTGGAACTTGAACTTTAAACAAAAGAATCAGACTTAGCCATTTTTTTCTTCCTTTTTTTTCTGCTAACTTTCTGACAAGGCTTCCTTCTAGCTGTTCAGCATATAATAATAGACGGGGGGACAAACCCAGAATATCTTGAATTCAGTCGTGGGTAAGGCTTGTAGGCATGTTTTACTTATATGTGTGAAAAGGACAACAGATCAATTATTTTCTTAAAATGTTAAATATTTTTAGACTGAACAGGAACTTTGTAGTTTTGGGGTTTTAGATTTACAAAATTCAAGCCTTCAACAGCATCCCACTATCTTCATTCACTTAATATCAGTTACATGAGACGTGTTAGTTTTCAAAATATTCCTGATAAATCCAACACTTCTAATTAGAAGGGAGCTATATAGCTGTTAATTTATTCCCTGTTTTAACATTTTAGCTGAAAATTAGCACCATGGCTTTTCAGATAAAGCATGAATATTTAAAATGAAAATTCGAATGCCCATTTAAGCACAATTTAAGGGAGTTGTTGAAACAGAACAATCTCTTTTCCATCAGCAACAAACGATGAACCCTTTTAAGAATCTCTCCATAAAATAAATTTAACACTCAGCCTCTCAGAGCGCAATGAAATCTGCTCCTAATGAATTAAACCCCATAAATGGTTCTTCCAAATATCAAGGCTCACTGGAAAATAGATAAATTCAATTCCTTTCGGCTTTAATCTGTCTGGCAACATCGTTTGTTTGAAGGGAACTTAGCTGAAATACATTCAAAGTGTCTCACGGAAGAAAGCAATCAAAAAGGATAAAAAAGCACTCAGTAAAGGAAAGAAAAACACTTAAAGCTGATCCTTCCCCACGCTCCCCTTTCAACTTCGGCTGCTCAGACTTTTATGTGTCACTGAAACTGGCTTCCTTTTTTCTGCTGTGAAATCATGTCAACAGTATAAAAATAAAATGATCTCCACTTATATCTTAATGACAAATCGCTCCTTTGAAAGAAATATTAATTTTTCCTCCTCGGCTGACATCTATGGCTTATTAAACACAGCTACCACAGAAACCCTAGTTCCACTATCTGACTCAAGTGTGAGAAATATTTCATATTATTAAGTTTAATGAGAAATTGAAGTAAAGATGATTTTCACCTGCCTTTCAAATGCGTGATTCTCGCTCTTATTAAGACGTACTTGTTTGTATTTCTTGTGCTTTTGCAGGCTGCCTGTATTCCAGTTATTCTGAGTAACGGCTGGGAGCTTCCATTCTCTGAAGTAATCGACTGGAGGAAAGCTGCCATCATTGGAGATGAGAGATTACTGTTACAGGTACTTAGTAATATCGGAAATAAAAATGATCTAGGACTGTTATAAGATTGTGAAAATGGCTGGTTTGAATGACACAAATGGGAAGACAAAGTGCTCAAAGGCATATATTTAAATTAGAGAATCCTTCTATAGATCTAAAGCAGGCATGACTAAGGAGGTGAGAGAAATATCTCAAAATAACCTCAACAAAGGGGGCAATCTCTCCCCCAAAATGAACACCATCAGCAGGTAAAATAGGGCCCTTCAGCAGTGGCTAATCAGTGTGAAGGAATATCAACAGTATCCTATAGAAAACTGCCATTATAGCTTCCAGATCCCCTGGGCAACCATGGAAATCCAGCTGAGGCCGATAAGAAAAACAGATGGGAGACACTAAAATACAGTAGGCTGCGAAATGAGTCTTCAGTTTGAGTTTGATTGAAACACTTTAATTCTGTCTAAACAGTGTGAATAAATATGCAGACAAATAAATCTAGAACAGACAAAGCTGTGGATTTTTTTTGTCTGTTATCACTTAATTTTATTTGATAATCAGACAGGATGGTTAAGGAAACTAGTTTATCAAGGCTTTTTGTCTTTCAGAGGACTTTCTGATGTGCTAATGGAAAAAATAGAATTTTTGTTCTAAGACTAGGGAGGTGATAGCCAGAATAGAATTAAATGGCAGAGAGTAGATTGTCCTTAAGCAATTGCATAAATAATAGAAAATAGTCCTGGTCCTCTTGCAGCATAACAGACCCATAGCCTCACACTACCTCTTCCATGTTTGACTTCTTGTATGATGTTGCTTTCCTAAGTGATGTAAGCTACAGTTTCTACAACTGGCTCTCAACACCTCGGTAATATTCAATGGGATCCTATCCAACTAAAAGACTCTACCCAGAAGCTGTCTAAAGACCGTTAGGACAGACAGTCAAAGGATATGACTCCTACTCTGTCATATTCCCTGATTTAGCTTAGACTCAAACTGACGTTTAAGAGAAAAAAAAATATTTTAAAGCGGCTCCTACCTGCACTTAACCTTTTTAAACTTTATGTTGTCATCAAATTAAGATCCCTTGGACAGGCAGTCTGATAGAATCATGCTTAATGTAAGTTTTTTTTTAACAAAACTTTATAAAATCTGACATGAGATTACAGAAATCAATGATCAAAGAGCCCAGCTTTACACAAGAACTTTAATAGCTTGTACTGATTTTTCAGGAATCTTGGGAGTTTAAGTCAATGTTAAAACCTTAGCCAGACGAGTAAGTGTAATGAAAGCATGGATCCGGTGTGCAATATTTCGATTGTATACATGTAGATAATTATTTTTAACCTCTTTCTACAGCAAAGCCACATAAAAATGTTGCAGACAAGACATTTTATGTCTGTCTTTTCTGTTATAACTTAATAGCAGAGACTTAAAAGTACAAAGATATGTTAAAAAAGCTAAGTTCTCTGAGCAGAAGGTAGCTGAATCTACCTCTGTCTTTGCGACTTACTAAATGTTCTTTTGTTTAGATATGGCACATGATAATCAGAGTCATTTACACTCACACCTAGAGCTATTTATACCAACGATGCATTTCCCTACAAATGGAACACCTTCTGTTCCTTTTAATAACAGCTGCAGTGTGATATTAAGATTTTGTAATTAGTCTCACTATTACTGCATGTCACCTGGGCGACCTTTAGCACCATCTGGACAGCCAAACAGACCTGTGGTTGTTTGTATTTTGGGAATTTCAAACTAAAAGTGTCAGCCTTTAATTAGAGGGTCTCTGATTCAAGCCCTTAACAAACACTATATATAAATAGATGCATATATGTGCATGTATGTACGTATGCTAAAATATAGATTTTTTAGACATCAAGGATCCATTGAGGCCCAAATGTACCAACGCTTTTAGTTTTTGTTTTTTTTCACATCCTCATTTGCACAAATTGATGCCCCTCTATAGATCTTGCTAATTGTTGGTTAAGGTGACATTTGTGAAGCGATAAGTGTGTTCCGAGAGAGACTGAGATGCATACTTATAATTAGGTTTGAGGAAAACAGACATTCTTCCATTAATTCATGTGAAGCATGTGATGCAGAAATGTCAAGAGTAAATGAAAATATAGCTGCAGAGATGAAAGGAAAAAGCTTCTCAGAAAAGAACCTGACATTTGCCAGCACACACAAATAAAAGGAAATTAAACATCTGACTGCTGTGCTCTCTTTGTTCGGGTTAAAGAATGCAGACGCACTAACAGATAATGAGCAATTTCAAACATGAATCAAACAGCATCTTGTAGTTTAACAGCTTTTGTACAAGGTGCTTTTGCTTGGTTTTCAATTTGCAAAAAAAAAGAAAATTCTGTTTTCCTTCTCTATTAAAAGCATGAAAATATAGCAGAGATAGTTGGAGAATATTTAATCCACTACTTTTTGTTTTGTCTATCGAATCTATATTTAGAGGAACCTCACTCTTTTTAACAACATTGTTTCAGGTTATTGACAAAAGCAGCCATCTGTTTCTGCACAGCGCTCTTAAGGACCAACAACGTAATTTCAGTCAGGTTCACATCTAGACGCTAGCTGGGCCATTGCAAGTATTGCCTCACTTACAGTGCTGGTTCAGTCCAGGGATCAGTAAAAATGGGAAAATGAAGACCTTCAATTGGCCAAGTTTGCTCTCAAACAGACTCTTCAGGCCTGGGTCCAAACTATGTTATGCAAAATGAAGGCATTGTTTCAGGGGCCTTTTTTTTCATTATTCTAAAGGAAAGAAAATCAAGAAGAAAGTCTGTAATCAAACAATCTGCAACAGCATGTATTGGGGCAGTTCTCAATAGAGTATGAAGTAGCAAGGATGAGAATAAGCTCATCCAAGGCCATGGTTCCTGATTGGAAAAAAGGTAGCTTCTCTCCTTCAGGTTAAAGGAGAGTTCCTGCCTCAAGTGCAGGAGCTCAAGTATCTTAAGGTCCTATATATGAGTGAGGGGAGATGCTGCACCGGTCTGTTGTAATGAAGTGTAAGCTGAAAAGGCAAGGCACTCGATTTACTGGACAGTCACGACCAAAAGAACAAGGTCCCAGAAAAAAGGACCTGAAAGTAGCTTTCTCTAAGGGAGTGCCCTGTAACTGCACTGTAAAAAAGATCTCGAAATTCCTTAAATTATTATTTACCCTTGATTTGAGTAGGTAAATAAGATGATCTGCCAATGGATTGAGTATTTCTCCTCTGAAAATAAAATAATTAGATAAAATGCATAAAATAAGAAAATGCATTTTTTCTTATTTTAAATGTAAATTGTCTTGGTACATTGGGAAAGTGTCTAACTTACTTCCTCAATTCAAGGAAAAAATGCACTTATTTGAAGAAAGTATGAGCACTTTGTAAAACATTGTTCCACTACCACTCATATGTCTTTATTTTTGTCTTAATAAAATTTAAAGAAATTTTATTCAAATTTTTCTGAGAAGATGACACAGCTAATATGAGCAGTTAACATCCACAAATAGTCAGCAGCTTTATGTAAGAAAAAGTCTAATAACAAGTTTGAAAAAACCATCACCACCATCTTCAGACTGCCTCAGGATACACGCTCTTATCTTCGGTCTCCTTTTATAAATGTCATTGTAACTTTTGTCATCTTTTTAATAAGTATCAGCCGAAGAGCTGGGTATCTTAAAAGATTACAAAAATCTACCAGAGGGTTTAGCTTTGCTTTTGATTTGGAAAATATTCCTGGGGGATTCTGTCTTTTAGTACAGATAATGCTAAAGTGTGAAAACAAAACAAATCAGTTTCTATACAAGAGGTTGTCTTTAAAGTATCCGCTTTAATGAATTATTTTGTCATCTATTTATGTGTGCTCAGGGAAAGGTTTTTAATAAACAGCAAATAGATTGGAGTAAACCTAAATGTTTTTTTTTTGCTTTCATTCACTAGCTGCTCAAACAACAGGTGGCAGTAAAATCAGAAAGATCCTCAATATTACATGTGTATAGCTAGTGAGAAATCCACCAATTTTAAAGGACTACTAAATTAGGTGGATAAAGTTTATATTAGACATCAAATTCCCTTTAAATGTCCTAGAAAAATCCACTAAACCTCGCCTGAAGTTGGGCAGTTTACAATGAATCTCTGAGTCCATTACAGCCTTTGTGCCTGAACATCAAACTGATGCAGGACAAACGCAACTTATTTGAGCTCCTCGTTTTTGTACCTTACAAAAAAATGAAAATGCAACCTATATCAGTCAACATTTTGTTAAGGAATTTAAAAACAGGAAAAGATTGTTGTCTTTCGCTTATCTGGCACCGTGCTGCAAGGGCATAAGTCCTAAATAAGAAACCAAGGACTTCCTCTCTCCAAACACCTCCCCCAGCTGTATTGGGGAAGCCAAAAGAGTTCCCAGGCCAGACATAGTCCATACAGCATGTTTTGGGTCGTCCCCTGGACATTGTCACTGCAGGACACACCTGAAACAACTCAGCTGACTCCTTTTGATGTGGAGGAAGAGATGCAGCTCTACTCTAAGCCTATTCAGATGACTTATCTCCTCACTTTGCTGTATCTATTTACTGTATCTTTACTGTATCTTTACAGTGCCAAGCCACCCTGCGGAAAACGGTAATTTCTGCGGCTTGTATCAGGAATCACTTCCTTTCGGTCTTGATCCAAATTTCCTGACTGCAGGGGACGGTATAGGTATACGAACATAAACTGACCGGTAAATGGAGAGCTTTGCCTTCTGGCTCGGCTCTCTCTTTACCACAGTTGAGCAGTGTTAGCATTATAGTGGCAGGCGCACTGATCTGTCTATTGATCTGCTCCATTATCCCTTTACATACGTATGAACAGGACCTATAAAAAACGTGGACTTCCCCCTACTGTACTTAAGGCAGGAACTCTCTTCCAGCCTGAAGGCAAGCCACCTTTTCCTAAAAAGTTGTCGTGCATGCTATAGATTTTGGCAGGGGTGCAGCAAGCAGAGGCATATCATCTGCAAAAAAGTAGAGATGAAAT